CAAGAAGAATTAAATTATTGTTTATCTTTGGTTCATGCAGGGTGCATAAAATGGAATATGGTTCTGAACTGTAGAAAGTGTGTTCAAATGGCCGTGACGCAGAAGAACAACCTTTTTTTTTTTTACATATTCTATCAATGGAGTACCACTCGAAACTGTTAAACCATATCAATACCTCGGAGTTTTAATGACCTCTGATTTGTCGTGGAGAGCACATACTGAGTTTATAGCTCATAACCTCTGTTCACCTGAAACTAAACTGACTGCTTATAAAACCATCATAAGACCAATGCTAGAATATGCATGTATTGTATGGGACCCTCATACAAAGCTGTCAATTGCTATGTTAGAGACTGTGCAAAAAAAAGCATTGCGATTTGTGTACAACCGTTATGGTTTTATGTCATCCGTTTCAGATTTGTATCCAAGATCGGGATTGAGTGATTTAGCAACCCGGAGAAAACCAGAACGGCTGAAGTTTCTTTATAATATGATACAAGGTAATTTACGACTGCGTCTCTGTGATTACGCTTCATTTAACGAAACAAGGCCCACGAGAGGCAAACAGCAATTAACACTTGTCGAACCATTGTGTCGAACCGCTTTGTTCAAAGCACTCTTTTTTCCTAGAACCATGTGTGAGTGGAATAAGCTTCCTGAAAGTGTTGTAAATTTGAGATCATTAGATACTTTTAGTGAAGCACTACTCTCGCACTTTGTTGAGTAGTGGCTCTGTGTTTGTTTGTACTGTTTCCGCTTGTTTTTGAATATTGTTTTTGTACACCTCCTGCCTGGGCGTTCTACAGAATGCTGGCAGTATCACCAAATAAATAAATAAATAAATATCATGTTACCGCCAAGGTTGTAGGCTGATCTTGGGGGCTATGTTCAACAAATGTTTCGTTTCTTTTAAAATGAAACAGATGTGACGGTACTGACGATATCACGTCTGACTAGCTAGAGGCTCAAAGGACGAAAGAGGAAACTTTCGTCATTTGAGCCTCTAACCAATCAGATGCAATATCGTCACTTCCGTTTTTTTTTTTTTTTTTTAGGAAAAACGAAACATTTGATGAACTTAGGGAACTTTTGCCATTTGAGCCTCTAACCAATCAGACGTGATATCTTCAGTTCCGTCACTTCCGTTTCTTCTGAGGAGAAACGAAACACTTGTCAAACATAGGCCCCCTGTTTTCAAAGTTGCTCCGGTTGCTTCCTTTACGTCGCGTAGACGGAGATGCTACACCCCGGCTGTTGAAAAAGGCACTGCGAAGCATATTACAGTGTGGCGCCTCCTGATCGCTCCGGCCCATGAGCAGTTTTGTGTCGGCTGCTCAAAAATGTGTTAGGAATTTTCTCTTCAAAATTACCGTCCACCTCTGTGCTGTCAATATTTCTTTTCCTGACCACCCCATAGCATTTTTACACTTTTTAATAATAATGAAATTGTGAAGAACGGGTATGGGCACGCCCCATTTATGGCAACCGCGTTAGCGTCAATTTGGCCATATTTATCGCTTTATAACATAAAAGTCACGCAAATATGGCATTATGTTTTTGCAGATTCTGTTAGTACACATTATAAACATTAATTTCGGAGAGTTTAAAGAATATTAAGGATGGTCCCCTTTTTTAACGATTTTCAAAACAATGCATATTTAGTTAAATGCCCGCGTGAGCAATTGTAAATTTCTCCCGCTAACCAGGACAATATTTCATATAAAGACGAACCATATGATTGTATACAAGGCAACACACTAGCAAAGTTTGAAGACCTTAGCTTTTGTAGATTCGGAGTGAATAAAAAATCTTTAAATCCAGTTCGGTATTGCGCAACGTGCCGTGTTCACGATTTTGTTTTTCAAAATAACAACCCTAATACTCGGTGATTAATAGATTTTGTCAATTCTTCCTATGCTTAATTTGTCAGTAAATATTTATAGACCCGTAACCAAAACTTTTTTTTTTTTGAAGCCGCACGAAATGCCAAAAACGCTCGATTGGCAAAAAGCGCACGTGACTGAGAGCGTGCTTACAGTTTTTTTTCGCAAACACAATTTTTTTTTTTTTTTTACAAGACAAGGATTGTTTTTATTTTTCTGGGCCACCAAAATATTTTTTTTTAGTCACAATTAAAAATGCTCATCGGACATGGTTGTTCGATCTTATCTGAAAACGCCCTGTAGTCAATTACCCATTAAAAACTGTAGAACTCGCGACAGAAATGCAATCGCGAAACACGAAAACCAACGAAAACAACTTTCCGCCCCACTGCAATCAAGCGGGAACGTCTGCTAGATTCAAGCGATCCAGGCGACGCGCAAAGGCGAGAGAGAAACACGAGGGGCAGGAGAAGTCGCTCCTACTCATGTCGTAAGAGACGTTAGCGCCGCCAAAAATGTAGCGACTGGAAGACGCATAGGAATAGAGGCATGTGTGCGCGCGGAGTGCTATGTCGACACGAATGCAGCTACGGCATAAAAAGACAAGTAACAATAAAAAGTTACCATGGTGGGATCTTTCAACTTGTGCGAGTTGCGTCAGTTACGGCAACCCGAACCGGTGGGCGGAAAGAGGTTACTCATCGACCCCTTCGTGATACAGTGATAAAAAATGACTCGAGTGAGTTGATCAGTCGTCGAGTTCCGAGAGCAGGTAAGAGCCGGTGGTGTGTATGTGTGTGTCGTCAGCGCGAGAGCCAATACTATCAATACTATCTCGAACTTCGCCACTACGCACCTCACCACGTCGACAACGTCGACGTCAAGGTAACGTTTTAAGTGTGGCTAGAGTTTTCTCTCCCTTGCGGTTTCGTTACTTGAAGGAAATGGTTATAACCGGCCGTCAAAGAAACCGCTCCAACTTCCATGACGTGCTTTCATTTTAAAAGTAGTCACTAACAGGATGAGAACTACATGGCGTTTCTTTCCAATGTCCGGCGTCTAATACGGTCAGGGTGCCCTCCGTCGTGCACACGCTTGAGGCTCGCGCTGGAGGCGGGGCAAATGAAGAACCTCCCTGCCGTTCTAATCCTGGCAGTAACTGTTGCAGAATTCGTTATCGATTCCACTCAGTTGTAAAAGGAGCCAAACGTCGCAGAGACAGGGAACATAGCACACCACCCACGCAGCTTCTCTATGGTTTTGTTCAGCGCAGCAGAGATTGTTTTTGGAAATGCAGATCCCCCCCCCCCCCCCCCCCCCCCCCGAAACAAAAACAAAAAACCTTACAGGGTTATTTTTAGCGCAAAAATAAACTATGCTTCGCTGAACCCTCATTTTCCGCTCAAAGGCAGCACTAGAGGCCTGAAGCAAATGCCAAAGTTTCTGCCCTAACCGATATCTTAATCAAAAGTGATGAGCGATTTTGTGAAAATTGCACCGGGAAAATGGGGCCCATTTTCCCATTGAAATTTTCAGAAAATCACATAACTTTTGAATAAGATGTCGGTTTAGGCTGAAAAATTCGGCATCTGGTTCAGTCCTCTAGTGCTACCTTTGGGCGGAGAAAGAGCGTTCGGCGATGCATAGTTTAGTTTTGCGGCGAAGAAAACTCGCTTTCTGTTTGGAACACCCTGTAGTATAAGTATATTTGCTTTTAGTCCCACTGGATGGTATTCTGCACACTCGGAAAGAATTATCTTGGTGGTCTGGATGGCAAGTTGCGAAGATAGAGACTCTAGGGGCGACAAAGACAACCGCGCAGGAGATAAGCTCGCTCAACAATCTGAACCGACCGTTCACTTGACTGGAATATGTTCACTGTTTGATGTGATATGTGCATGTGGTTTTCCTACACTTTCCTAGCAAATAAATATTTCTTCAAGTAAACCTCATATGCATCATATGCTTCATATCGCAAAAAAAAAAAAATCCTGTACAATGTTGATTAAAGGATAGCCGGAGGAAAATATTGGGAGTGTGCGACTCCTATACTCATTCACCCTTAAAGGGGCACTGACACATCAAAATCATATTTTATTTTATTATCCGAAACGATTGAAAATGATGCCAGGACGTTATCCTCAAAATTCGAAACTTGGGAATTCAGTATTTCTTAATTAAAAAAACGATTCCCAAATGCCGAATTTAAAGTCCCCGCGCAATCCACGCCAGTGCAGTGAGTCAAATTTTGCGGTCTCCTGCAACTCGACTTTCTTTCGGACCTCCGCTCCACGCTGTGAAGCAAAGCGCCATTGCTATTGCGACCCGAACCAAGGAGGAGGTGAGCAGGCGGGATAGAAAGGTGCCGGCGCGGGAAAAAAACAGTTTCTTCCCCGACTCACCGATAATCCTCTGCTCAAGGGTCCCCAAGTTTTCCGAGGGAGGATACAAATTCAGGAAGCGACATCAGACTGAAATCTGATTTTTGGTATTTCAAAAAGAAAGGCCGTAGTGCGTTCGCCATTGCGTTAAAAAACATGTTTTACGATTCCCGTTATTAAATGTTATAGAAATGTTGTCTACAAAGCTTCTAAATTTCCTGATTTTTCACGTCACCAATCAAAGGAAGCAAGGAAGTGAGCGCAAGAGGTATAAACGCCAAAAATAAAAAGGCGCGCAAGGGAAATTTTTTTTTTTTTATGCATTTTTTTTTACGTATTTATGGCTACAACTTGCATCGTTTTAGACAATAAAAAAGAATACGACCTTTGGGGTGTCAGTGCCTCTTTAAGCTGAGACGAGAAGCTCCGCCTTCAGCTCAAGCTTTTTGCCCTTACTCACACAAGTGTGAACGCGGAAGGCATGCGCAACCAAAGCACTGCGGAAGCCAGCGAGCTCGTGCTGAGGGCAGAGCTTCTGGCCTCAGCTTAAGGGCAAACCAAGCATAAAGGGGACGTGCCACTCTGCCTTGGCAGCTGGTTGGCCGTGCCGCGACGGACAGCGTCCGCATTACGTCGCATAGTGAAGTCGGCCGTTTCTGCACCTTCCAGCGGCCATATTTCTCAACCTCGCTCCAGAGAAAAGCTTTTGGCACCTGGACAGTTTGAAAATGTATACATATCTAGTGTTGCTTCAAGAGTAATCATGGCAGTGTGTTTCTGTCATTGAGGCTTATAACTGTGGGTGACACGACTGTACTTGAGCTCAGAGTAACTCCTACAGGTGAGACGGGCGCTTAACATACGATTTGCAGAATTCCCAAGTTTGGGAGATGTTAATAGTGGGCGCTTGAAGGAAGTGGCCGCTTCCACGGTATTTTGTTGTAGACATTCTCGACATCCAGGCTACTGGATGGTAAAAGTTTGACGAAAACGGTCGACGTGAAGACTGGAGGAGGGGACTCCTAACTGTTCAGTTTGCTCTCAGAATATTAAAGGAACTTTGTCACTTCATCAAATGAACATTGAATTCATATTAACCACCTTGTGTTAAAAATGAATTCAAGGTGACCTATTCTCCAGGATTCAGACGACAATCAATATGGCAGCAAGCAATCAGCTATGTGCTACTTGGCAGAAATTTCACGAAATGCCGAAAATTGTTAATGTACTTCATAACAATGGTCAGTTAAAATATTACCAAACGTAATTCAAGCTAACCGTTCCCTGTGGCCGTGTCTACAAGATAGCTTTTTATGTCCACATTTTCATTTCTACTAGAAAAGCACATTTTACTGTACCCTCCTATTTAACTGATAGTGCAGTATTAATTGTCGCCTGTACACATAACATACCTAACTTCATTGCAGTTGTGCAGGGATGGCAGACGTCAGAGAGGACCAGAATACCGAGGAACAGTTGTTGGACCAACTGATCAGGAAACCGAGGTATGCCTCTTCTCGAGAAGCACTCAACGACATGAGGCTGAGGCTGAAAGAAGACGGGGTCGACATCTTGAGGCAGTGTTCCGCCGGAGAAAAAGAGCCCTGCTGGCTACGTGGGTGTCTCGCAGTCTGCAACAAAATCCTCCACACTGCATCGCTCCAGATCACCGAAAGTGCCGACAGAGGGCTGGTGATGGAATGGGTTTTTGTTACAACACCAAATGATGCAGACACCTTGCAAGCAGATTTTCTCAAGGACTGGCTGCTTAGCCGTCACAGCTGTATTCATACCGTCAGCAGAGCCGGAGACCTCCTCTCTGGCTGTCCGTATCCAGGACTTCGAAGCGTTGAAGCGAGTTCAGTCTCAGGGCTTGGACACGTGACCGCGCTGGAGCACTTTTCGTTGTTTTCTGCAACGCTCACGGACGCCTCCGTGGAAGAGCTTGCAGACATGTTGGGCAGGAACCACAACCTGAAGTCATTCAAGATCGTTCTCAGTACTGTTCCCGAGTCCGGATCGGAAAAGATTCTTGCGAAGCTCGAGGGTTGTCCATCCCTGGAGGCAGTAGAGTTAAGCTACACCTCATTGAGTGCTTCTGCTGCCCGTGTCCTCGCTCACCTATTGCGCACAAGCAAGTCGCTGAAGAAACTTACCATGCAAGGGGTTGACAAGGAATGCACAAAAATTGCTCTCGAAGGTTTGCACGACGGATCTTCGCTCGAAGAGATTAACCTCTTTGGCCTGGAGCCACACGAGAGCCCCTTTTTCATGAAATATTCCGAGGTCTTCAAGAACCTAAAGGTTGTACGCCTTCCCTGCAATGACCTCGATAACGCCTCCGCTTTTGAGTTTGCAGCGCTCATCGAAGCCTGCGAAACCTTCGTAGAGCTTAGTCTCAACTCAAATTCGTTCGGAGACGGGGGAGCCGTGGCTATTGCAAAAGCCCTCCGACACAACAAGACCCTGCGCAAGTTGTCTCTTCCACAGGGCCAACTGACGTCCACGTCGCTCGTCGAGTTTGTAAATGCCTTGACTGTCAACACGACCTTGGAGCGCCTGGACGTCGCTGAAGTCGACATTCTGGAAGAACACCGCGCGAGGCTATTTGAAGATCCGAAAAGTGCCGGTGCCTTCAAGAGGATCTTCGTGATCTGGAAGCAGAAGTGGCTCAAGGACCTGGCAGCGCTTCTGCGGCGCAACGACCACATGCCGCAGGTCTATGTCGACGTCGATCCAGGAGTTCCTCCGGCAGATCTGGATGCCTTCTTCGACGCCTTGCTCGCCAGCCATACCGTGACGGAAGTGAGCTTCTACCCAAAAGAGTTCTCGTTTGACCACCTCGTCGACCGGCTCGCTGCACTTCTCAGAGGCACGACAACTATCAGGGCCGTCTACCACCGTCTTTCTCCCGACGAAAAACACGAAGAGACGCACCTCGTCAGACTCCTTGATGCTCTCCGGGACAACACGAGCGTGGCAGACTTCACGACGTATGTTTCATATCTCACAGTTCCCATGGGCGTTGCGCTCGGAAAACTGCTGGAGGTCAACAATACGCTGACTACGCTTACCCTCTGCGAGTACTGGTCTGTGGATCCCGAGGTCGCGAGGACGTTGGCGAACAGCATGCGCCACAACTACACCCTCCTCGACCTGCGCATCGAGTCGGACGCGGAGGACGTGGAAGGCTTGCCGGAGGTCTGGGAGGCGTTGCGGAGGAACAAGGCCCTTTTGTACCCCGCTGCGGAGTTCGTCACCGGGGAAGCTGGGGACGAACGCCCTGCCGAAGCACTCCGGAAGGTCCACAGGAGCTGGGCATTAGTTGAGGAGGTGATGAGGCGAACGGGGAAGCGGGAGGCCGAGGTCAGGCAATACATAGCGGATGCTCTGAGCCGTCTTGGAGCGTCGTGATTCTAACGTCGTCGAACTGATTCCTGTTAAAGAGCGGATTTACAAGACACGTGACTTGAAATATTGCTGAATGCCACCACGTTGATGAACTGATGAACGTTGATGGTCGAGTTTACTGCCAGGGTATTCGGGAACATAAAGGGGCACTTGGCCTTGTTCACTTTTTCGTGTTTGTCCGCTGTGTTGCGCATACAAGTTTACTTAGGACAGACTAATATGATTGTGTCATTTTATTTAGGTCAAAGAATAAAAATGTGGGAGAGGAACGGCGGTCACTCACTGCAGTGGAATACTCATACATATGTGGCAAGGCACGCCTACGTCACTGGGAAAATGTCACAATAAGAAATATTGGCAACAGCTCCTATCGGTTTCAATTAACACGGCCCCAAACTGAGTGCTCTAACTTATCAACAACTAGTCTACTGTCAGAAAAAAAAAACAGCGCACACAGACATTGCGTTTCACTTGTCGAGGAGGCTTTTACTTTCTTGTAGCTTGTACGTTTTAGGTTCTCTCTGCCAAAGAATGTTTTCTGTTCTTTCCCTGCCAAAGAGGAACACGCTTTCTGAGGACAATTGACGTCCATGCATTCTTTACTTTTTCTGGGGACAGCATTTTTGGCTGTACGGAATGCTCTAAAGCAAGGGTGCACAACATGACACCCGTGGGCCACATGCGGCCTGCGGACATGACACGGCAAGATGTGCTCAAGGCGGCAACCAGTGTGATGATGGCAGATATTGAAAATCTGCCTGCGAGAGATTGAAAACCCGCGCCTTTCCCAATAAAACTCTTTTTGGCCCGCATCAGTTTTGACTTGTGCAATCTCTGGTGAAAATCGGCAACTTTCTTGAGGTAAAGATCAACTTTCTCACCGATTGGCTCCTTTTCTCCAAGACAGTAATTTGCTCCCACAAAACCTTCAATGATGCACTTCATAGTATCACTTATTTATTCACTCTACACTCTGAGGTTCGCACACATTTGTGGGCCGCCTCAGCAAAAATATAGATCTGGGCCCTTGGATATATGCATCCGATCCGCATCTGCATCCGATCCTCAATCTGCAAAATCTAATTCATTTTGATCAGGATCCGCCAGTAGACTCTACCTATCTGCAGATATGCAAGGCTCTACTTATTATCTTTTGTAAAAGTCAAAGATAAGATGCAAAAAGAATGCAGAACCTTCTTTTTAGAACAAATGCTCAAGTCAGATTAGGTTCCATTTTACAATGGCTATGAAAATTGAAGTATAGCTCAATGCCTTAGTTGAAATAAAGCCTCTTTCCCCTCCCCCTTTTAAACTTTGAAGTTTGTAAAATGTCAGCAAAAACCTTCATATCTGCTAAAGTATGTCTGCCAATAAGAATAGGTCTCCCTCACCGTTTCATGAACCTGCAAATCTCAAGATTCTAATGTAAACTGCAAAAACAACCGCCCACAAATATTACGAAAACCTGACGCTGCACTTTAGCGGCGTCGGAACCAGAGCCTAGTCAAAAAGTGCACTGTACTCGACTGCTGCACGGAACTACCTTGACCAACGTATTCATCTGGACAAAAACGTGCGCTTTCTTTTCCTTTCTCGGCAGAGGCTTTTGTATTTAATTAGAGGTTAACCTACAGTCGAGACCAAAGAAAGTCGACTCGTAACAGTACTGATCATTATTTCCTAGCACTTGGTGCAAAGCGGTGAAAGTTGATGTGCGCGCGCTGGTGTGAGGCAGTGAGGTGGACGTAAAGTGGACGTGAGCGGCGCAAGTGTCATTGATTCGCTGTGACTAACCATGGCATTGAGGCATGAGGCAGGCGTAATAATCAAGTAATCTCATCAGGAGTAAAATGCCCCGGTTTTGTATTATCAGAGTATAGCCTCCATCCCACTATTTTGGAAAACTTTGTGTCGACTTTCAGCTCCTCACATCGCCGACATCGTCTGGAAATGGAGGCCAGCGCGATTGATGAGCAATCTTTATAATACATTTATTTAAAGTCAAAGTTCAGCCGGTGCTTTGCGTCAATGAAACTAATCAAATGGTGTTAAAAGTGCGACATCATGGCATTCCTCGTCTTTCAGTAGATGTTCCTTTATCGGTTACATAAATTAGATGCAGCGAACGCCCCGTGACGAGCGCTTTTAGTGTGTCTGCTTGTGGTGGTACGTGTTCGAGCCATCGCCTGTGCTCTGACCTAAGATACAACAAACTATACGATGAGTAGAGACGCTACGAAATTCATGTGTTACATTTTATTTTCATTGTAGTTGTTGACGTTGCATGATTTATGCAGTTTGCCCACTAGATTTAGTGGGGAAAATAAAAGTATAGGTTCTTCACTCGCCGAAATGACCGTTTATTGTCTTCTGAACAAATTTATAGGGTTGTTCTTCAAACGCTGCATTTCACGCATTGTGGAACTTTGGAGAAGGTCGCTGCCAATTTGTCTAGGTGGTGTTCACTCTGCTGCTGTCGTCGCATCGGCTGCCACTGTAGTGTACTCGTGCTCAGCAACAGGACCCCCACGTGACAGTTGACGTGATGTCAATGCAAGTCATATATTGGCACTTTTTTCGTCAACATATAGTTTCCACCGAGCAAATGTCACGAACTACTCCTAAGAGGCGTCTCGATAGGCATTTTCATTGCACGAACGAACTTGCGTGTTTTTCCCTGCCGCATCGCCACTACCCAGCACCGAACACCGGGCGACAAGCCCGTCATTGACTCGTCATCTGCTTCAAATAAATTTGGGAATAAAGAAAAAATAACGCACACAAGTGAGTCCAAACTTCCACTCAGGCAGCCAAAGGTGCCCGTACGTATACCGAAAACACCAGTCGCCAACACGGCAAGTTTGTGCTCTTACCGTTTCCTAAATGAAAAGACACGCGAGGCAAAGGGGAGACGCCGAGGATATGTGAGAGGTCCCGCCGTTTCAAATTCTAATAAAAGGCGTTCTTACGTTCCAGTCATCTGCAAAAACCACAATCAGTCTCATGTCCTTCCCTGTTTCTGGTCAGGGCAGAGGGCTATACTTCGTTTCGCCGTAACTCGGCAAAGTGCGCACGACCCTTTGAGTCGCTCGGATTGACGGAGTTCAAGCACATGACAGTCCCCACCAAAGGTACAGGGTATCTGCGTGGTGTTGCCTACGCTCGGTGGCAAATCCTCGAGCGCGTGCAGATTTGAGGAAATCTACAATTCGCGAAGCAAAAAGCCAGAAGCGTCCTTTGCGCACCCTCGGGCCACCCTCAAGCCTTGCCAACTACATTGAAACAGGAAAGTGGGATGACGTAGCGGTAAAGGGTGCGTTCTTTGAAGGGTCACAAATCTGTTTCTCCCCCAACTGTGCAACCCCTGTGCAATCATCGCATTATAGCAAACACCCGCAAATCCGGTCGAAACAGGTTTGTTGTCTTTCCACGAGTTTGGCCTTCTCGGACAAACTCTGATCGGCGGGGCATTGCGGCCACCGTGATGGGGCCGAGATTTCGGGCAATGAACGCAAAGAACTGGTAAAATATTGCTTCGAACGTCATTACCTAGTTTGTTGTGGTTGCTGATGTTTCGCTTTGCTATACAAGAAACCACCGGCGGCGGCATCATAAAGGCTAACTCTAAAATTAAGGCGCTTCCCTTCGAGGCTTCTGAAAATAACGTCCAACACCGCTGAACAGGCACTCCGAGAGACACGTTCCAATGCTTGGAAGCGATAACGATAACATATGGGCTTCTCAGCTCGATGGTGTTCTTTGCGTATGCCGTCGTGTTGTATACCAAGTGGCCGTAGTTTTAAAATGGACACGTTCAACGGAACGCGCGATGACTGGAACTGCTAGCGTGAATATATATTTCTCGGGTATTCCATCACGTTTCCATTTGGAATTAATTCTGTAATTGCTATTTAGAAATATTCAATTAATTGTAAGACCTAAACAGCATAAATTTATATATCTATTACATTTTTTCTTTCATAGCTGTAAAGGAAGGTTGGCCGGCTCCCTTTAACAGAGGCCGTCCCTTTGTTAAAGGGATGGTTAGCTGAAATTTGGATTACAGAAAACAAAGCAGGAGGAGTAGGTGGGACGCTACAATCCCGACATCACCACTCGCAAGGCGATATCTCGAATGGACAGCCGTATTTTTGGAAAAAGATGTTGAGATTGAGCGAGGCCGAAGAGGCGCGTTGTGTCCACATATTTCGTTTCCTCCTCTCTTCGCTTTGCCCCCTCAAGGTGGTGAGGCGGAGAAGACGCGAAGCCGCTTCCTCTCCTTTTCGACTCTTCTCGAAGAAACAAGATGTCAACATACCTGTCAAATGCACCTCCTTTGTTTTTAAAAAAAATACGGTCATCCGTTTGAGATATCGCTGCATGAGTGATGCTTTGGTGTTTGTAGCATCCCGTTGCACACTTCTACCGCCGTGTTTTGTGGAATGCAGATTCCAGTTCAGCATCCCTTTAAGGGGGAACATGGGTCTTTGGAGCCAAAAACTTCCTAAAACTGCATCCTTTTGAAAATGGCGATGATGACCTCTACAGCTGTTGTTCTACCAAATCTACCGGGCTTCTGATTTCGTGGATGAATATTTGAGCTATAGATTAATTCATAATGTCTATGTGGGTTGAATGTGCATTGAAGTTAACATTGTTTTAACAAAACATAATTTTTGGACTTGTTGAAAATTTGCAGGAGAGGTATCTCAGCATCTAGAGCATATAGAAATATAACTACCGTAATATCCCGAGTCATCGCCCTTCCCCGAGCCATCGCCCACCCCATTTTTTGGGCCAATATCGATTTCTGAAAAAACACCGAGTCATCGCCCACCCCTTCAAATACCCCAGCGCGGACTCTGCGATCCGCGAACATTCATCCTACCCGAATGACGCGGCCGCGGACCTTACAGTTGGAGGACGTTCGTGACAAAGTAAAACGAAGGAGGGAAAGACACTTTTTGTTTACGCATTTCCTCCGTGAGCGACCCCAAAGCGGTCGTGTATCCGTGCGAAAAGAAAACGATGGAGATAACAAAATAAGAGTTTGTTAATGTAACCGCGGAGTGTTAAGTCAAAGTCTGTCTCCGCCGAAGTAAGGACACCGCGAACCTGCTCCTTCTTCCCGCCCGTCGCGACCGCGGTTGTGCAATATTTTAGGCAAAGCCATCGCGTAAATAAAGCTTTGCTGGAACGCCCTACACAGACGTTTGCAGAGCGTCCCAACCGTGCATTGATAGCCCGCCGTGCACGGACGCACGTATGTACGCACCAAACAAGAAAGTTGCGCAAGAGCTTGCGATTGACAAGGCGCCCGACTTGGCCCGACGCCAAAGTATTTGCCAACGCGACCGCCGGCTTTCCCGCTTTCCCAGGATTGCTCTTGGTCGCTTCTTTGGTCCGCTCGCTCGCTCGCTCGTTGCGCCTGGTCGGTTTTTCTATTTTCTTGTAGACTTTTTTTTCTTTTTTTTTTTTTTTTTTACTAACTAGGAGAACATAGTGGTGACATTCTTTCACGGAACAAACGTTCGCGCTATATGCAGATCGGCGGTGTTTCTAGCGCGTATGCAAGCAACGGACTTCGCTATAGTAAAATATTCTTTCGTGAGCATTTTTTCCTATAAAACAATGAAACAAAATCGAGTTTTGAGTTTGATGTATCTCTTGTGCATCCGCGCTAGATACGCAGAGAAAAATAGGCGGTTTTTTCCACTTTTTTCTAAGTGTTTGTGCTCACCCACCGAGACATGGCCCACCCCACTTTTTTATTGAATTTCAGGCGGTAGGGGGGTGGGCGATGACTCGGGATATTACGGTAGGGGTGTGCGAATATTCGAAACTTCGAATACTTCACGAATAATGCTTGCTATTCGATTCGATTCGCTTCGCCTTTTCGCTGTTCGAACTATTCGAGTTCTTCGAATACTTCGAAAACTACGAATAACGCGGAACTCATTGATTAGTGTCAACTTGCGGTCAAGTTCTCTGTTTTGTTTTTGGACTGCGCAGTATGGTTTCGAGCTTGGCAAACCTACACAACCAACCTAAGTATCTTTTTTTTTTCTTTTTGTAGGAAGGATTGGAAAGTTATTTGCACGCGGTAGGGCGATCTGTCCTTTGCTTGCCGTGATGTCCGGATTGCAGAGTTGGCTAAGTGGTCATGGTGCAAACGCTGCGATAGATAGGATGAAGGACTACGGTTTGCAACGGCACATGCATCGTCGCGACGGACGTCGCGACGTTTCGGGCGTCCGCCCGAGACGTCTTGTATACGTTCCTGTCCACATTCATTTTTAATGTAGCACAACCATATATTCGTGATTTCGTACCTACAGTGACTACAGTAGCCAAGGTGCTATGGATTCGGATATGGATTTATGGCTCACCTCGGCTATCGGTGATATCTGGCTTGTGTTATTTTCCGCTTGATTTTCCGGTTTATCAGTTTGCCAGTATTCCTTTTGTTATTTATTTCTACCCGTTTTCAATGATAAAAGTGAGACTTCCTCCCCCCGCCAAAAAAACAAACAAACAACATATTCTTAATTTATTGCATCTTTGTGGCACCCTCTATGGACAGAACTATTGCACACGGAAAGAGATGGTGCATAGTCAGTGCGGTTGCACAGGGCGATCGCGCAATCTGAAACTCTGCTGTGGCCTGTCGACCCGCCTCCGCTTGTCTACTTCCGTTTGCGTTCGCGTGGTTGCGTTCACGAGCGTAAAAAGAGATCGCACAAAGTAGAGACGCAATCATCGACTTCGTATTGCGGCTTGCGGACCCGCCACCGCTTGTGTACTTGCGTTTACGCTCAAGTGCCTCCTTTCGTTCGCGATGCGATCTCCGACTGCGTTGTGGCTTGCCGACCCGCCTTCACTTTTGCACTTTCATTTACGTTCTCTAACCTCACTCAAGGAATGGTATTTTACTGACTAATCTTTCTTCATCTATTTTTTTTAACAGTCACATGTGGGACATTTTTCTTATTGTAATAAAAGTAACCTTTTCATAAACGTTTGTTGAAAAAATTCCAGTTGTGTTTTTTTATTAAGCATTCTTGTTTAATCCACATCAAATAGAAACTATTTGTTTTCAAATATCTCCTCATTTGGAACTACTATTCGTATTCGAAAATATTCGATTCGATTCGATTCGTAACCTTTATTATTCGATTCGATTCGAAAGATTTTGATATTCGCACACCTCTAAATATAACCTTTCCTGAAATGCCCGACGAATGTGTGAAGCATGCAATGTTGAGGGCAGACTTTTTTAATACAAGTCTGAAAAATTTTCTTTTTGATCTTTTGTTTTATTACTTTTTAGCTATGCATTGAGAACTGCACTTCAATGTGTGGTAAAATCACTAATAATTGGTTTATCTTAAAAGTACTTCTAACATTGCATTCCCTACACATCGTAGTATCTAGCCATGTGTTAAAAGGGATATTTTGTTGAGCAGTCTTTTCTCTCTTGTTTCTCCAAAGAAAGGCAGGCAAGTTTTAATTATCTTGAGGACAGTTCTACTGACTGGGAAAATTACCAGGTATGTGAAATTAGCACAAAGACTTGAACAAGCTTGTGCAGTTTCATTGGGTTTGGTCATAAAATAAGAAAAAAGCTCCAAGACCGGTGTTCCCCCTTAAAGGGACCTTTATATGCCGTGTGATAACGATCTCCAGCTTTCTTTACTAAAGGGACCTTAGCTAAAGTATACCTTGACGCTGCCTTGTAAATGGGGTATCGGCCTTCGAGAAAAGGGAGAGGAAGTACCTCGAAGGGCATGTTTTTTGTCGACGAACAACTACCAGATGCACTGCAACCAACGAAAAAATCCCAACCTAGATGTCTGCTCTTCGCCGCCGTCGCCCCGAACAGCAAACGGCTGTGAGGGCAGAGCTTCGTCACATTGTCAATGTGTTTGCTTCCTTTCCCAGGTGCGAAGAGACGCGTTTTGGTGGACTCGCTGTCCGTAATGTTATCCCAAGCTGCAAAACACTCACCCTCCGAGATCGGCGAAGCAGTGGAGGCACATCTTGGACGACGCGTCCCACAACCTCAGCGTCTTGTCGTCGCCGCAGGTGGCCAACAGGCGTCCATCTGCCGAGAACCTAGGACAACCGGAAAGGAGGACGGTGAAGGGGAAAGTCTGCCTTGAAAAGTAGCTCGCCTACCGTGAAATACCAAGCGTGCAACAATGTTGCATTAAGTGCCCACCCCCGACCTTTGAAACGCCCGAAATACAGCGTGTCCCGAAAAACAACTTTTTCTTTTTTTCGACACCCTGTACAGTCGACTCTCATTAATTCAAACTCAAGGAAGCCAGTCTTTAGTTTGAAATATCATAAATTCATCTAAATATTATGTGGGGCAATGTAGTGATTTACTACAGGAATAGCTACACATACCAAGCAGATATTTTACACTTTCCTCTACACAGGCCTATTTATAAGCAGGCACACACATAAAACATTGGCGAGGTTCAAAGCAAATAGTGGCTTTGGCCGAATACTTTTTAATCGAATATTGAATCGTTCTTCCAAGCCTTTTACTACTGTTGTAAGATGCTTTAACGAAAATTCAGCCGAACTCGTGATGGTTGTTCCCAACCTTTCACTTGTCCACTTCTAAGCTCAGTTAGTTTTAATATAACTATATCTATGAACCGTGGCCTCGGAAAGTCCAATGCCTACGTTGGGTTGGCATGTAAATGACGGTTTTGACATAAAATAAACCTAAGGGACACCCAGCTATCCTAATTGAGGGAATTTATAAACCTGCTTGATATATGCAAATATTTTTTTCTTTAATCTCAAATTTAACCGCCTTAGGGAAAAAAAAGAATAATGAAAGCAGATTGTCAAGACAGTTCTGCTTGCATAATCGCAATGGGTTAGTCCCATCAAGTGCGCTTCTCCTTGAGCACCCGCGTACTGCGGAAAAGCAATAACCGCAAGCTTCATAGGTATTGCTTTCCCGCAGTGCACAGGTGCTCGGTGAAAAGTGCACTCAACGTGGCTAACCCACCGCAATAAACAAATATTAGTATGAATTAAGCAAAAACAATGCTTGAATTAAGCGACTTATAAATGCATTGAAAACATAGGGGGCCAACCAAAATTTTTTTAATTCATATGATTTAACCAGAAGTATGAGATATCCAAGTTTGAATTATCGCAAGTCCACTGTATAGGCGGAGGACGTGTATCAAGTACCCACCTCTACAAATGTCTGATCCCATTGAAGTGTTCCTTCGTGTTAGCTGGTTCTCCGAGAAGCAGGAGCAAAGCGGTGAAGTTTTATGCGCATGCGTCGGTGCGAAGCAGCAAAGCCCGACTCCAGAGAGCTCTGGCAGGCTTGACAAGAGTGCCACGGCTGCTTTCAAAACTAGGGGCCCAGCCAGAGCCCTATAGTGCTCCTCTACTACATCGTCGGATCAAAGGAGGACCTGCCCTATTATGTGCCTCCTCTGCTTTTCCACTCTCGGACCAAGCAAGCGTCCATCTCCGGTACTTTGCGGTCGTCTCCGACTTTCGTGAGGGCACTTGCTCGGTATTTTACGGCAGGTGCACTACGCTTCTCCAAAGGGCCAGAAAAGACAATGTGGTCAGGAGAACGGGCAAAAGGTCATAATCTAAACATGGCGTTAGTGTAACAGCGCGCAACAACGAGGACTAAAGAAAGGAACACACAACACAATACGAGCGCTGACTTGCAACTAAATGTTTACTAATAGTGAAAACAGGAAAACATAAAAAAGGCACTGAATAAGAGGGAGGGACAAGGGACGGACAACAACGACAAACGACAACTTCCGTTCATCCCTTGTCCCTTCCTCTTATTCAGTACCCTTAAAAACACGCTCGTCCTTTACGTACATAACAAAGGCACACTCAACCACGCATGCGCCTCCCAATCTGTCTCGTCACATTGGTGCTTCTGCTATCAATGCATCACTTGACTCTATTCATAGTAAACAAAAGTGTTCCTTTTTCCGATGATGCCACCGATGGCTTGCTGACACATTGCACTCAGTAATTAACAATGTGGAAGGCCTCTATCACTTATCTCGCCACTTCAACTCGGTGGCTTCCCATATAGTGGGCTCGTTGAGGGATGGTTTGCACTTGCAAGTCCCACAGTGCACCGACAGACGCCCGCCGACCGTGGCTCTCGAGGAATAGTCATGCTCTGTACTCTGGATAATCGTGGTAGCGTTACCGGAGAAAAAAAAAGTTTTTTTTACTGTGAATGGTGTGTTGATGGCAGGAGCACCATTGCAGTGATGGAAGTGCCATTTGACCTTTTGGAGCAGGCCTTGTAGCAGGCAAAATGTTGTTTTGGAGCAGGTAGTGGCCCTTTTGGAGCAGGGTCTGGCATATGTTGGCATATTACTTGAAAATTAAATAATGCTGCATTGCTATATAAAGCCTATCTCTATTATTGGAACACAGCGCCTGTCGCCTTTTTAAGACAGGATATATAAAATTCAAGAAAGTAAACACAAAAAAAAACATTTTTTTAAATAAAGTTTATCTGCTCGTCAGATAAAAAATACAATTAAATATGTCACCCTGAGTTCTGATGGTACAGGATATTTAGTTTTATCAACCTGCACTTCTTTTAAGGTATCTGCAGCAACATCTAACGACCCTCACTGTTGTGGAATGTTTTAGTTCAGATTAGAGTTGTCTTTCAAGCAGCAGCTTCAAATATTGCGGTATCTGATATTCGCTTCGAAAATTCTGATTCATTTTCGATGTGTTGGCAAAGTCACAATCGGATCACGGCGAGTTAACCCGTTGAGTGCGCTCCTTGGCATGCACCGACGCGCTGCAGAGAAGCGACACCCGCGGAGCAGACACCGCAGTCGCTCAGTGCTTTGTGCTCCGAAGAGGACGGTGAGGCACTACCAGTACTACATCCAGAGTTTGGTGCAACTCACCTATACTTCGTTTCAGCTTCGGTGCGAGCGCAGCCGAAGAATGCGCGCATGGAGCCCGTAACGGTGCCCACACTGCACGAGCCCACGTGCGAGTCAGGAATGCACAGAGCATTGGGCTTGCGCTAGCTTTGACTTCGCTGGTAGCTAGCGCACAGGAACAGGGCGGGCCAACATTGAAAACATCCACAAGCTCGGCCTTTCTTTTTTTTTTTTAAATAGGCTGCTCAGTGGGATGGTTCTTCGCTTAGCCTCTGCGGCTTTGGTCTCAGATGTTACTAACATTCCTTTCAATGATGATGATGATAATGCACCCTCGCAGTTTCGGTTCGCATAACAGTTGCGGCGCAAAAAATACCACGGTACCGCCACGCACTCTAGTAAGACTTCAATTTTTATATTTTATTGCTACATTTCATCTCGGGGCAGGCATAGCGCAATTCTTCGGTAAAATGACAATTTGGCGCTACATGTAGCAGGACTGCGTCCTTGGCGCAATTGGCGCAGCACTTCCATCACTGCCATTGTGACGAGACCAGGGGTTTCCCCAGGAATTGAAATTAGGGGGGGCATCTAAATTTTTGGGGGGAGGCCATGAGAATATAGGAGTCGTTGCGTTGCCGACGGTCTGGCTGCTTGGCACCAAAGTTGGCTCATAAGACTTACTTTTTTTTTTTTTTTTTACTGCGCTATTTTTTGGACGTGACGTTTAGTTACGCTGTTCTCCGAAGCATGCTTTTGGACACATGTTTTAAGTGCAGACGGCAGCAGGCTATCTGTGAGTACTTTGGACAATAAAAGAAAGTTTAATTTAAACAGTTTTCCTGTCCTTTTTTTAATTCATTCATTCGGATAATTCGACCGAATTTCTATGTCCCGTCGAGGTCTAATCAACGAAAGTGTACTGTATTGGCAGGGTATTTTTAGATATCCAGTGGACATCCGACGAAGATCCACTTCGGTTTGAATATACAGTTACAGATGTCCCACGTACGTCCATTGGGCGGACACGGGAAAGACACAGACGGAAACATCAAACAAGCAGGAAAGGTCATCCTCACCTGACGCTTCGCACCCAGTTGGCGTGTTCAGCAAGCGAGCAGACGACGCGTTGCCTCTGCACCGACCACACCTGAAACAGCGAGGCATTCCGACGGCTCAGAGTCGTCATCGTAAGTACAATGCCTGAAACGCGCCTTCATCAAATGCGTATGGCGTTCCCTACCACCCGCACACCAAAAGTGGTTCCAATGTGGCCGCAAGCGACATCGCATGAGCCAACTACGTTTTACTGTCTAATTAAGCGATTAGCTACAGAGATAACTGAAAGAGCCACGGCGGGTCAAGTGTCATCTTTCCTGCTAAATGTGGCGGGCAAACTGAACTCATCTGTAGGTCACGTAACGTGAAGTTTCATTCATGTGACGTCGTTTTTCTTGGTAAATTAGGGAAGCTGAATTGGTCTTGAGGTCACGTGACGTCCATTTTCCCGCTGAATATAGCGGGGAAACTGATTTTGCGTACAGGTCGTGCGACGCATTCGAGGATGTGGTGAACACACCAGCCAGAGACGCGTTCCAGATACCATAGTCGCAAGGAATTGGCACGCCATCACACTCCAGAGTGTCCACCCGTCCGGTACGGCGACACGGGGGCAGGCGGCGGACGCGACACGCTTACCTTCACGGTCTTGTCGTCAGACGCCGTCGCCAAGCTCTGGCCGTCGGGAGAGAAATCGAGAGACCGGACCGCCGCCGTGTGTGCCTTGAGCACCTTGCACTCGTACTTTCTGCGGGGACGAATTGAGCGATTGTTAGTTGGACTCGGCAAAATCTTCTGGCCGAACGTAACGAAACAAGCTCTAAAAGTTAACCCCCCCTCTTCCCCCCAGGAAGCCTCAGAGTGACAGGTAACTAGCAAACGTGTGCCGAAATAAAACTTTGGAATGGGCTAGTTGGTCTGAGATCATTAAAAGTTTGTGATCGTTCCTCGCGATTTATTAAAAAAAGCGGCCCTCTGTGTTGCTCGTGTCTCTTTATGTATTTTTACGCTTTTTGATATCTGTGTAACGGACGCGGTTTCTTTGGAGTTCTGAAGAAGCCTGTTAACTCTCTCCCGACCACACCCACTGAGCGTCGATCAACCGTGATCGATGTGCATGGAGATTTGTATCAAAACTCTCGCAGAGCTCCCATGCTCGCCGTGTCTTCTCAGACATAGTTTGAAGACTACTGCATTGGTTTTTTGCGTTTCTCTTCCTCTTTCCACGTCGCGGCCGTTTTTAAGTCGAGCGAGAACCTGACGGTCCGCCGTTGTTCACGCAGCTCTGGGTCCAGGGCTCTCATGCAAGCGTGGCTATTCTCGTGAATCCTCCAGCAATTTTTCGGGCTCGGATAGCAGCGTGCGTCCAATTACGAAGCCAGTTTATCATAATTCTGTTCTGATAACCCATGCTTCACCATTTTGAGAAACGGCATGTCGGTCATGGGTGTTGGCTGGAGTTTTATTAGCTCAAAACCTTCTTGAGCTAAAATTTAGATTTTGCAAGCTTTCTTGCTAAGATGAAAAAAATTTTGTATATGTCGATTTTTTACTTTTTTTTTTTTTTTCTTAGAGGGACACTGACACCCCCAAAAAATATTTTTTTGTTTGCCAGGCGATTAAATATGGTGTCAGAAAACTACCCAATCAGCATTTTGCTAAAGTGTCACATATATTTTTTATAGAGTAAAAAAACGCAACTAATTGGAACTGAAACGAAAACTGGACTGGGGAGAACGAAGAAATACAGAGGAAGAGGAAGATACCTGAAATGACGTGATTGTGCAACCTTTTTTTTTTTTTTTCAGTCATTGTATTTGCAGCTTTTTAGAAGCCACAAGAAATGGGTATCATATTTTTTTGTCCTTTTCTTGTATTGTTTCGATAACCCACGACTTTGATTATCTCTGTTGGTTGTGTCCAAACCATAGAAAACGGCACGTGACCACAAAGAAGAGAGTGAGCACAACCTCAACCGTCCAGTTCTTAACCAGCGGTTTTCGGGCGGAAAGAAAACGAATTTTGAGTCGCAAATTGTGTTCTGGGTAGTTGGGCCCTCATATGTCATGTACAAATAAAAACCTTGGGGAACATAAATACCCTGTCAGTGTCCCTTTAAAGGGCAACTCCGCTCGATTTCCGAAATTTTGAGATAGTGGGTTATCGAATAAATGTGAAAAGTACTTCAAAGCAACCCTAGACCGTTTGTCTCATTAAAAGCAAAATATTTTTCGTGCGATTTGGTATTTACCATAATCGCAAACCGAAACTGAAACTTCGGCACAGCCGGGCAACATTCTACCCTCAACGTCAGTTGCATACGCACCCGCGTGGAATACAATGGGTCACGTGATCTACCAGCGGTAACCCAGAAAAGACGCGGATGTGAGGGGAAGGGCGAGGAGGGAGGAGGGAGGGCGGGCCTAGTTGCGGCGGCGAACAGGCAACGCAAGCGGTGACTAACCGCCGAATTCAGAAACCTCACTCAAACTACACTCAAACTGAAGGGCCCCTCCGCTTCCTCGAGGAAGGCGCGAGGCCAATCGCGTCGGCGGATCCGCTTTCGCGATTGGCCAGCGCCGGCCCTCGCACCTTCCTCAAGGAAGTGTAGGGGCCCTTCAGTTTGAGTGTAGTTTGAGTGAGGTTTCTGAATTCGGCGGTAAGCAGTCTATGTAGGCAGCAACCCAGGCGGTTAGCCTGTTGGCACCGGTTGGCACGTTTGTCAGCGAAACTCCTCCCGTACAACTCTCTCTCCCTTTTTTTGTTTCTCTTGTCCTCATTCATTTTTTTTTCTTTGGCTGTCTTGCCTGACGTGGAGCGCGTCCGTAGCGCCGCCTGGTAAGCTCTCCCTGGAAAAGAAAATACCAAGAAAAAAACTGCGTATGCAACAGACGTCAGCCACAACGGAAATACAACGTTGGCTGCGCCGCACGTCGCCCGAGCGGATTTTGGTGACTTCGCGCATCTCAGTTTTTGTCGGCCGGTTTAGTGATCTTTTAGATGGTATTGCGTTATAATATTTGGCATTCGGTCTCTCTAGATGATACTAAAAGGAGTCGCAGTGTTTGCTAACAACCGAGAATGAAGCGGAGTTTCCCTTTAAGATGTGATCATATGCACCAAGTTTAAACCAAATTTAGAAGAAAACAATTGTTTGACAAACTGTATTTTGCATTAGGATTCCAAGTCTCCACTTTGACCTTTACATTGTTCAAAAACCCACTTATTTAGCTTAATTGCTACGTATGGCATCATATTGTAAACCTTATAGTTTCCCCAGAGAAAAAAAAAAAAGAAAGACGTTTACAACACCCTGTAATGCCGAATTGGAGTGCAGCTTTAAGGAGGAGGAGGGGAGAGTACTGAAAGGAGGGTATGCCCCTCCTCCCTCCTCCTCATCCCCCCTGCTACTCCTCCTCTTTCACCCTCTCCCCTCCTCCTCTTCCTCCACACCCTCCCCCTTCCTCCTTCCCCTCCTCCCCGCGTGTTGCATCATGGGAAATGTCCCATAATGCACCGCGCGGGACCCTCTTGACGTCACGAGTCCCGTCTGTTGCGTTATGGGACATTGCCTATACACAAACTCAACTCTCCTACGTCATGCCGCGGTGGTGGCGCGTCAAGCGCACTTCCGGTCTGGGGCGGTGGGCAGAAGTCGCCGTGCGAGACATGCATTCCTGTGTTCTTCCTGGAGAAACCAGACAAAAAACCTACCTTTTCATCAATATGCTACGACGGGGCTGTACCAAGAGAGTCTGGAAAGGTTTAAAGATCCGTCTTCATGCGTTTCTACCCCCTCCATTCATCCGAGAACAAGGATAGTAGCCGTGAAAAGAGCAAACCAGACGCTGTCAAACTATGATTGCTTGTGCGGGCAACACTTTGTGGTCGCCAGATGTATTTGTTTTGTTTTAACATGAACGAGAACCGTCAAGTTCTCCGGACCACCCTCGGATTCAGTGCGTCTTCAAATTCACACGGCCGCCTGATCGTTCGAACTTTCGTCTGCTCTTTCAAACTTGTCTGCTTTTTGTGGTCTGCTTGTTCAAACAAAAGCGGCCCGTACACCAAACTTTGACCCGGTGATTGTGATAAGAAGTAATTGCAGGCCTCAAAAGACTTAAGCAGGCTCGGTGTAAACAGTAGGGACAAGATGTTGATCATTGGTACCAGTGGCCATCACCGACTTGTTACGCCTGGTCTGTTCCCGCTTCCGATTTTCAGTATCGACGTCGATCATCGCTGCTACCTTCTATACTTTTGCAGCACGAGCAACGTCGCAACCGAAAATAGCTAGCAGAATCTCATCGTGGTTTTGGCATCCATTCTGCAGCGTTCATGCGGATGAATCGCAGCATGTCGAATTATTTACGCAAAGTTTAGCGGCGTAAGGAGCCTTGATAATTTTGCTCAGGCGAGTGGTAAGACATTGCTATGAGGACGGAGAATCGACAATTCCAACGCGAAAAAGTGTATGCAGACTCAGACAGGCGCCAACAACGTTACATTACAATGGTTTGTAGACACAGGACGCGGTGCTTCTTGCCCGCACTCCACTGTGCATGCGTTCAAACTGTCGTCTGCTCTTTCAAACTTGTCTGCTTTTTGTCGTCAGCTCTTTTAAACGACAGCGGCTCGTCAACCAAGGTAGACCCGGTAATTGCGATAAGAAGTAAGTGCAGGCCTCAAAACACTATTGAAGGTTGGTTGCGGTAAGTAGGCTTAGTGTAAACAGTAGATACAAGATGTTGATCATTGTTACCAGTGGCCATCACCGGCTTGTAATGCCCGATTCTACTCGCGGTTTTCAGTATCGACGTCCACCATCTCAGCTACGGTCCACGCTTTTGCAGCCCGAGCGACGTTGCGACTGAAAATAGCGAGCAGAATCTCATCGTGGGAGTCAGGCTTCAGCGCCCATTCTGCGGCGTCCACGTGAAATGAATCGCCACACGTCACATCATTCACGCAAAGTTTTGCGGTGTTACGAGCCTCGTTATTTTTGCTGAAGCCGCTGAAGTAGTCAGACATTGTTAGGAGGACGTAGAATCAAGAATTACAACGCGAAAAAGAGCACGGAGGCTCAGACCAACGCCGGCAACAATTCAATTCAATGGTTTGTTTATGGGCAATGGCGAGCTTCTTACCCACCATCCACCGCGCATGCGCGGCGCCGGTAGCGTCCGCTAGGGGCGCTCCGGTTTGTTTGTAAACATGAGTTGGCTTATAATGCAACGGGCAGTTATGCCGACGGCCAGGGATGGGCAAAATACATGCAAATATGTATCGAAATACAAATACAAAATACTTCGTCAAATATGTATTTAATTACAAATTTAATTACATTTCCAAAAACGTATTTAAATACAAGATACAAATACAACCAAGTGTATTTGGACTTCTCCAAATACTTTTCCAAATACATTCTTCAAAATTTGCGTCAGCGACTTCAGGGCACAACGGGTTTCTAGGTATCTCATTTTAATTTTGCATCGCACACTCGGGAGTTAGTGTGCGAGGCTCTAGTAGCGTAATAGAAATATAATCACAAAAAATGTAATCAGCTTGGACGTAATAAGTGAAAAAAGTACAGATCTTCAAGCAGCTTTTTTTGTCGATTACATTTTGGTATAGACCAACAAAGAACCGAGACGACCAAGACGTGCAGCACTAGCTAGATATTTTTTTATTGTTGCAACTCGCACCAGTTACGAAAATCTGGACGACCCACACATTTAGAATGTTCCA